ATATGATTATTAGAGTAAGAATTACGAGTGAAGTGCGCCTGCTCATGCCATAACAAAGCTAAGCCTCCACTTCTCCCTTGACAATCCACCGAAAAGCAATTCCTGAACTCAAGTTGAACTTTCAAATCTTGCCATTTGTCACTCATCGTTTAGTTTCAAACAAAAATAACATGTGGGGCTGCTGCCTTTGCACTAAGTTGTGCAAACTCTAGAATATACGGGGGACCCCACCCCTCGAACATTCCAAAAGAAGGCAATCATTGCGATCGGCGGGGCTGTGACCCAGCCTCCACTGAAATATTATGTCCATGGATACTCCTAGAATTACAATCATGTTCTTCCCCACCCTCAAAGTTGTTACGTTTCAACTTTTCTCGCCTTGCCCTCAGCTTCCTTTCATTTACCCAGACTTTGGGCAGCTGGTGCATGAGCCGGACCATGTGAGAAGACCCTCTTATCTTTCATTTTCCAAGCTTGTTTGGCTCCCTTCTCAGAAGAATGTGTAGACCCATCAAGGCGCATAAGCTCAACTTTGAATATCAGTGGTAGTCAAAGGTCATTTTCCTTTTAGATCTTCTCCAGATTTGATAGCTAATTCTAAATCCATCTGATTAGTATTTTCAAAGAATTCCATATTCTCTGTAACTCCCAGATCCTTTTTCTCCACACCCAGGATCTCCGTCTCCCGCCGATGCTCCTCTTCCTTGCGAACCAAGTCCTCCTCTGATCGTTGTTGATCATACAGTGGCTCATCAGAAGGCTTCCAATTTTCATTATTTCGCTGTCAATCACCTCGACCCCCTCGATTTCGCCCAGACTGAACACTCTTATTCGAACGGCCACCCCCAGAACTGTTCCCCTCCTCGCGAGGCTGGGCCTTTTTAAGGATCGAAGCCCGCAGCCAATCTCCATACTAATCGTGTTTTCCATTCCCCGGATCCACTGCTCATTTCTCATATTCGCGGATAGAATGCCCCACACAACCGCATCCGTAACAGAAATCGGGCAAACGTTCATACCTGAGAGGACACCAAATATCCTTCCCATCACTAGTTTTAACTTTGAGCCCTCTACGAAGAGGTTTCAAGACATTGATTTTTACTCTCACCCATAAAAAAGGCCTTACCCAATCATATGAACTCATGCCATCGACCTCCTCGACTTCGCCTAATCTAGCTCCTAGAAACTTTGCCATGTCTTTGGTCATACACTCAAAAGTTATGTAGTGAATTTGAACCCAAAAGGCACATAAACTAATGTCAATGTCCAGAGGTTTGTTTGCCGCCGTTGTTGGCACTAGAATAAGGAGAGACTTATCAAAAGTCCATGGACCTAAAGAAAAGACCCTTATCTTCTCCGCCATAGTCTTGAAAGCTATAACATAGATGTTCAATCCAGCAGTCTCAATTCGAGTAGAATTGTGGATTTTCCAAACCTGTTTCATTACCGATGCAAAGGCTTCCACAGTTATCCTCTTACTTGGGTGAAGCTTTCCAACCGCACAGAGTTGGATGTTGTCAACCGTCAATATTGGTTTCTGATTGTCAATGACAATAGTATCCTCTTCTTCCTTGATAAGGGTGAAATTCTCCCATAGTTTTGTGATGTCATCCATCGCACCCAAAACTAAAGCCCCGTTCACCAACACTGGAATTTGAGAGAAAACTCTCATAATGAGAGACCCAAAGTTTTACCAAAATTATTTAAATATTTGGGGTCGAATCCATTCCGGTCAAGCTGAAAAAGCCCACTATTATTAGTAAGCTACTCTAATACGCCCTTATTAGAGTATTATCTTAAGTAATAATGTTTTACTTTTCCTTTTTTTTATTGTAAATATCGTATTTTGTTTGACCTACTATTCTTATTTTTTCCATTTTTCTTTTGTATATCTCATTTGGTATTCTCATTTGGTATTATATTAAGAGGGTAAAAATAACACAATAATAAAAACTAAATCTTGATTAATATTTGAAATTTTGTTTTTTTAAAAAAGTGATAATGGGAATTTTGAAATAATATATAAGTTCAAAATTCAAAAAAATCTCTCAAATCTCTCCCACTTCCCCTTTTTATCTCTCATTTCTCTCCCCACTCTTCCGTATTCTGGGGAACTTCTGTGTTCCACGATTATTTATTCTCTCTTCATCCTCAGTATTCCTCTAAATAGAACAAGGTAATTAATTAAATTTTTTTTTTCATTTTGTTTCTTTTCTCTCTTACTCTATCCAGTCCCCCTCTCATTCTCCCTTACTATGACTTATCTTTTGAAATGGTACTCTCTCAAGAGCACACACTAAAACATAGAAAATAGTCCTAAGACTCACAATTTATTTTTTTTACTCTTTTAAATTTCCTTTTAAAGAAAATATTCTTTTTGCCAAAATTACAATATTACAAGTGGTACGCAGTTATTATTCCTCCTCATTTCATCTTTACTCTATCAATCTAGTTGAATTTTATCATCTAAGGATTTCATATTTTCCATATTTTCATTCTCCTTCCCAATTGCTAAAATACTTATTCTAATTTAATATTAAACCGGAGAGATTAATTTTATATTTTATTATATAGGAGAAGGAATTTTCATGTGATTTTGTTTTAAAAAATCTTTTTGGCAAGTTATAAAATTTCCTAATAATTTAATTTGGTTATTACATTTCATATTATTCTATATTTAATTTGTTTATTTATTCAACTAGATACGTCTAATATTTGATACCCGTAGATATATATGTTGGTTTGATTTAATTTTTAATTACTAGATCACAGTAGAAGATCTAATTTATTTTTCAATCAATTATTATTTTTTTATGAATTAAGTAAAAATAGTAAATGGACTTCAATATCTTCTAGCATTTGAAAATAATAAAAAAATCACAAATTTTGAGAAAATAAATATTCAGTTTTTGGAGATTAGTAGATGTTTTCTTTATGATTTTATTTTTATTTATTTGGGTTAAAATTCCCTTCAACAAAATTAATTTCACGAAGTTACTATTTCTATTAACTATATTTATTTTTTAAAAATTTTAAAACAAATTCATAAATACATGAAATTTTTCATTAACATGAATTCCATTAATTCAAGAAAACTTTCATTTCAAATCTTAACCGTTCCAAAACCGAGATTGAGTAGTTTTTTTTAATTATTTTATTAAAATTTAATTTCTCCAAAGATGTGACCTATATAATTAATTATTCACTTTTCTAATATTGAATTAACTTTTCCAATATTTTTCTTAGGTGAGGAAAATTATTTTTGAAATCATAAATAAATTTTTATATTTTTTAATCACAACTTTGCCCCTAATAATATTAGTAATGCATATTTTATTTTTTAAAACGTGAATTAAAAAACGTATGAGACATTCAAACATAAAATAAAATTATTTTGTGTGGAACGTAATTAATTTAATAAATTGGATAATAAAAAATTACTTCGTTAGGATCGTTTGTGTCTCCATAACCAAGACCATGTTAAGTCATGAACTTTTGAGTTTTGCAGTCTTTCACTTAGTAGTTAGAAAATCCTAACTCTTTTTACTGATATATATATTTTTTTTGTTCTTGTCTACATGTTAACAAAACACTTGTTTTTAACTTAACCTAATTAAATAATTATTATGTTTTCTTGTTCTTACAAAATAAAATCAACAACACACATATGCAAAAGATGAAAATATTGAAACACTCCACGCTTTTTCTTAGTTGATAGATTAAAGTTTACACATAGAGCATTCACGTAGTTAGGTCACGTGAACATCCCTTATTTCCACACAAGGATTAAATTCTCAACACACAACATATTATTCAAAAGCAGGTAGTTTTAGTAGTTGCTGCTTCAATGTTACATTATAACATAACAATTTCCATGTCCAAGGTTTAGTTGATTTGAAGAACTGATGTCTTTGTTAAAAGCTAGAACTTACTGTTGGTAATTTAGCAGTAAGGGGATGTTGGCGGTTACGATGTTTGATCTGACTTTGTTTACTTGAACCTTGTTACTGGGCAAAACAGGATCTTTAAACTGTCCATCATTATTCTCCGCTATCTGAATTTGTTTCAAGAGAGCACCCCAATTATTTTCTAAACTTAAAAGTGCTTCACTTGGTGGGGAGTCTTTCTTAACAACATTGCCAATTACTTTCTTGATACATTTAAATCTCGTAGCCTCAGGAGTACTTTGAATGAGTACAAAAAATGCAACAGCACAGTGTGAGGGGGGCTAGAGTCATAGTAAACCAAGTTGGTAATGGCATTGTTCATAGCTGGGAGTCCAAGGGGATACATTCTCAAATTTTGCTTGCAACAATTTTGAGACATGCATAGTCGCTAGAAAATAGAAGTGTAACTCTCCGCATAACATATTGAATACAAATATGGAAGCTTAAGTGCAGCAGACTCATTGAAAAAGTAGGATACATGACCATTGCGATACCTCATAATATAAACGTTTACTATATTCTTCCTTGCTGTTGAGGGCGATGTCAGCTTCAGTTTGTTGGGTGCTACTACCAAGTTCTATAGAGAATTCATCACAACTTTCAGAAATGATCTTGCATCTCAGAAGAAAGTGTACAATATAAGGTTATTTCCCCTCACTATTTTAGGTCGAAGTCGCTACACATGAGTCTATCTCTACAATTATGATGATCAATCCATGACGTTGGCAGTAGATGTAGTAAACGTTTGTGTTATGGGGTATCACAATGTGATCTTGCTGCACTGAAGCTTCCATCATGAGGGGCCGCAAAAGGCTAGGCTCGGCGGAGAGTTACACTTTCATTTATTAGCAACTACGCAGGTCTTCAGACTATTGCAACCAAAATTTGAGAACGTATTACCTTCGGACTCCCAGCCATGAACAATGTCATTACCAACTTAATTTACTTTGACTCAAACCCTCGTACTGTTGTTGCAGCGGCATTTCTTGTACTCATTTAGTACTGCTGAGGCTACGAGATTTCAATATATCGAGAAAGTAATTGGCAATGGTGTTAAGCAAGACTCCCCACAAAGTGAAGCACTTTTAAGTTTAGAAAACAATTGGGGTGCTCTCTTGAAACAAATTCAGATAGTGGAGAATAATGATGAGCAATTTAAATATCCCATTTTCTGCTTACTTATAATCAGGTAAAAACGTTCAAATAAACAACGTTAGTTAAAACATCGTAATTTCCAACATCTAGTTGCTGTTGAATTATCAACAAGTTATAGCTTTTAACCAAGATATTATTTCTTCATATCAATTGAACCTTAGACATGGAAATAACTATGTTATAATGTAACATTGAAGCAGAAACTACTACAGATTCATGCTTTTGAAGAATATGTTGTGTGTTGAGAGTTTAATCTTTGTATGGAAGTAAGGCATGTTAATGTGACCTAACTACATGAATGCTCCGTGTGTGAACTTTATTCTATCGAGTAATAATAAGTGCAGCGTGTTTCAATATTTTCATCTTATGCATATGTGTAGTTGATTTTATTTTGTAGCAACCAGAAAAACATAATAATTATTTAATTAAGTTAAGTTTATGTTCTGTTAAGATGTAACATGAAGAAAATAGAAAAATCCATGAAAATAGTTAGGCGTTTCTGACCACTAATTGAAAGACCTATCCAACTCAAAAGTTCACAAGAGTTACCATATGGTCATGGTTCTCTAGTACCACGAAGTAATTTTTTATTATCTAATTTGTAAGATAATCAAGTTCCACAAAAGTTAATTTTGTTTTTTTTAAATTTCTCATATATTTTTTTCATCCACGTTTTACAAAATAAAATATGCATTACTAATTATTAGGGGCAAAAATATAATTAAAAAATATGAAAATTAATTTTTAATTTCAAAAATAATTTTCCTCGCCTCAAAGAATATTTGAAAAGTTAATTCAATATTAGAAAATGGAATAATTGATTCTCAAGGTCAAATCACAATCTCTGTTTAAAAATGGTAAATGTTGTGTTTGGTACCTCAGATTTTGAGGAATTTCAAAATCATGATGGATTTCAAATGAATTATGTTGTTTGGTACCTCGTGATTTGAATGATATTCAAATCTTGCTGAATCTCAAATCCTGTTTGTACTTTGAAAATTTTCCAGATCAAAATGGTTGGATTTTGCAGGATCTCATCAAATAGTTACCTATTTAACTTTGTCATATTTAAATTTCTAATTAATAAATTTAGCTTGAAAGTCTAAATCAGTAAAATTTTTATTTTCTTTTTCGAGCCAATATCCAAACAAATAAATTTAATTTAATTCATTTAAAGGTTCCAAATAAGATAAAATCATTTAAAACCATTTATTGGATTTATGCAAACCAAAGGGTAAGATTTGGTATGAGAATTTTCTTGAATTGATAGAATTGTGTTAATTGAGAAATTTCATATACTTTCAAAACTTAAAAAATAAAAATCAGCTAGAGAACATTACAATCAAAATTATGATTTTTTATTTATGTCTTCAACGATAAATTTCTTTGTATTTATGAATCCTTAAGAAAGAAAACTTGAATAATATCATAGATTTGAATGTATGAGATATGCATTAAATTTTGTAGTTTGAATAATCTTCAAATAATTTGAATCTTGGCTTACTGTATTTTT